CGGGGTATTACGGTAGGTGTATCTGAGCATGGGCCACCCGAATATGCAACAACATTCAGGTCGTTCGATGCTTTTCCCTACGCCTATAGGGATCCATGCGCTTCGTTACCATTTGTCGGCAGACACAGCCGTCATCGCAGGCGCCGAACTTTTCTGTGCGCACGAACCCAGCTGGAATTGCTCTGGTATGTGTACTTGTACATGGGCCACCCAAATTTGAAACAACATTCATGTCACAACATTCATGGGCAGATTTGCAACAACATTCATTTCACAACATTCAAAGTGAGGGGAAATTTGCAACAACATTCATGGGCAGATTCCCCCCCACACACAGAGCTACTATCGTCGCCCACTAACAGTAGCAACCTCAGGCATGGGAACGTTCCCACCCCCCTAACAGTGACCTCGAGCATGGGCAGGTCGCCGAGCCGAGACGAAAGGGAACCTGAAGCCCGTGATGCTGAGAAACGGCACCTCGTCACCCCGTGCATGCACACAGCAAGAGGCATGCACACAGCAACTCGGAGCACACAGCAACTCGGAGCACACAGCAACTCGGAGCACACAGCAACTCGGAGCACACAGCAGCTCGGAGCACACGCACACGCAACCCCTTGGCACTCACCACCAGCATGGGCAGGTCGCCCAGGGAGAAGTCCCTGCAGCCGGTGATGTTGAGAAACGCCACCTCGTCCACCCCCTCCTTGAAGTACCGCGCCGCCAGCTCCACTGGCTCGCCAGGTTGCGCACCTGTTGTGATGAGACGGCGGAGAAGGGGGGGATGGGGGGTGCGGGAGTGGGGGAGTAAGGGAATGCAGGGAGCAGGACTCGTCCGCCCCTCCCTGAAGTAGCGCGCCGCCAGCTCCACTGGCATGCCCAGGTTGCGCACCTGTTGTGATGGGACGGCGGAGAAGGGGGGGATGGGGGGTGCGGGAGTGGGGGAGTAAGGGAATGCAGGGAGCAGGACTCGTCCGCCCCTCCCTGAAGTAGCGCGCCACCAGCTCCACTGGCATGCCCAGGTTGCGCACCTGAGGGGGGTGCATGCGGAGGAAGGGGGGAAGGGGATTGTAGGAGGGGAGGGAAGGGACGAACGATGGTGTGGGGAGAGCGGAAAAAAAGCGTGGAGTGCCAGCCAGCCACAACCGCGCTGGCAGTGCAGTGATATCCTAACCCATCCTAACCCATCCTAACCCATCCCCTCTGCATTCCATTTCATTCCCATCCACCATCCTCCTCCACCCACACCCTCTTGTCGCCCTGCTCCCGCCCGTCGTATTGATCCCCTTTGGTGACCACAAGGGGTAATGAGTAATGTTATTAATCCATCGTCCTCCTCGCCTCCCTCTTGTCGCCCTGCTCCCGCCCGTCGTATTGATCCCCCTTGGTGACGACCAGGTCCCCCCGGTCGTTGGCGCGCACATCCAAACACGCTATTACGCACTTGGCCTGCTGCGTTGCACGTGGGCCCCTCAGGGGCTTGCTGCATGCATCCTCCACCTCCTGGTGGGGTTGGGTGTGGTGGAGTGCGGTGAGGTGAGGAGGAGTGTGCAATGTGTTGTTGGCCCTTGCCTTGGCGACGAGACGACAAGGTCCCCCCGGTCGTTAGACCTGACATCCAAACACACTATCACGCGCTTGGCCAGCTGAGACGCTCACGCAAGGATCAAATTTTTGGCAGGTGTAAAAAACGCTTCGTTTAATACGCTCGTTTTTAACGCCTTTTTTTCAAAAATTCGGTCGTTTTTTTGTTAGACATTTTTTTAACCTAAAAAAAAAACCCGAGACGTTCAACAATGATTCCAAATGTGGCTAACACAGAAAATAAACACTACCATGCTGAAAAATAGTCTCACATGAGCAATTCTACTCCCCCTACTCCTCTTACTCCCCCTACTCCCTTTTCCCCTTCCTACTCCCCCTACTCCTCTTACTCCCCTTACTCCTCTTACTCCCCTTACTCCTCTTACTCCCCTTACTCCTCTTACTCCCCTTACTCCTCTTACTTGCTTTACGCCTATCACCCATCCACCTCCTCATCTTCATCATCCTCCTCTTCATCCTCCTCCTCCCCGCTGTCACCGTCGCTGCAATCCCACGGATCGGTCCCCGTGTTCTTCCGCTTGGCTGGTTCATCGTCCCCCCCGCTGCAATCACTGTCCGCCGACTCCTCTTCGTCCGCGTCGTCGGGTATCTTTTCCTTCCCCTTGCGGGATCCGCTGCCCTTGGTGTTCGAACTTTTCTTCTTTGAATCCGAGCGAGACCTCTTCTTTGCCCTCTTGCCAATGCTTCCAAAGTTGTCCCAATCAATGGTACATGGTTCCCCGCCCTCTTCCTCCGCATCCACCTCGACCTCCTCTTCCGGAGTTGGAGTCAAGGTGCTGCCCTCATTCAGCGTCCCATTGCTAAGGTCCTCATAGAGCTTGGCGCGGAGCTCTGCCTTTCGGTCGTGGGCAGCCCGTGCTCGCCGGCCAAACGCAACGAATGCCACGTCCGTCATGGTCGTGGCGTTCAGCGGTTGCGATCGCGCCGTTGAACTCGGGCTAGAGCGGACCAATACCGCTCGACCTCGGATGAGGTTACGGGCTGCGAGAGGGTCGTCACCGCAAAATCTCTCAAAGCTCGAAAGCTCGAACCTCACCCCCAAACATTGCCCACCACTCGGCCTCGGTGAGCCTCCCGCTCGCCACCAAGGTGGTTGCAGCCCATCGCGCATCCCTGGCCCCCAACCTCCCCTCTCCCTTGTGAAACGAGGCAATTTGGGCTGCTAGTATCATCCTTTTTTCCACACTCCCCTCCCTGGCCTGAATCACCGCTTCAGCTCCCTCCCTCACCTCGGCATCGTTTTGGACCTCCTCCACGTATTGGTTCCGGAGGTTCAAAAGCCACCCCAAGGCGTGGAGGGGGTTGTGCAGCTGCCCGTCCCATCGCTTGGCAATGATTGCCTTGACGGAAGCTAGGAATGCTGCCTTCTCGTTTGGGGGCAGCAAGGGCGTTCGGGTGGAGAGCATGGTGGCTGCAAATAGGAAAGAAACAACACAACTGAGGTGAGTAAAAGGGGGGGAGTGACGGATTTTTGGATTCATACAATCATCATCATTGGATCATGTTAAGGGTATGTAAACGCTCGGAGCTTACCGGCCGCCGTTGCCGCCTCGTTCGTCTTGACCGTAAATCTGCCCCATCACAAGGGAGCGACGGTCGACAGCTCGGAGCACCTCATAAATGGGGTTCATGAGGCGGAGGACGACCCCCACGGACTCCCAAAATGTCTCTTGCAAGAGGAGGCGGCGGACAGCCCTCCCTTCCTCCTTCTGCGCCACGGCCACCTGTCCCCACTCCTCGCTTATGACCATCTCCTTCAACGACTGCTTCACCTCAAGGAACCGTGCGATCATAATTACTTGCGTCCCGAACCGTGTAGAGCCCGGCCGAACAAGCATTAGCTTGCTAAATTGCTCATGAAAGAGAATGACGGCTGAGGCACTTCCCTTTACCATCATCACCACCCGATGCACTTGGTTGAGAACCTTCTTCACCACTTTAATCCCCCCAATGTCGTGAAGCATGAGATCAAGTACGTGCACCGCGCAATTGTTGAAGAAGACATGAGGGTACCCGGGCTTGGGCAATTGAGCCGCACGTTTGTTGTTCGCCGCGTTGTCCATGACGACTTGGACAACGTGACGATCCCCCACCGTCTCCATCGCGCCGCCGATGAGGGTCCCGAGGTACTCTCCAGTTTTCTTCGCGGTCATAGAGTCCACACAATCCACGATCACCGGTGCGGAATCATTTTGGGCGATGACGCAAATCATGCCGCGGCTTTTGAGGCAAGTCCAGCCATCGACCATTATAGTGCACCCACTTCGCGGCCAGCTATCCTTCAACGGCTGCACGAGCTCTTCCGTGTCAACTTTAAGCTTAGCGAGGAGCGGGCCAGCCACCTTGTACGCCGACGGTAAGGTGTACGCCTTGCCAAACTCTGCTACCGCATCCACGAAGGCTTGCAATGACGAGGACGTAGATGCCTTGAAGGCCAAATCGTTATCCGCCACAGCAGCCGCCTGTCGAGAGTAAAGGGAAAAAGGTGGTGCACTATCGAGAAAGTTGGGTACATGTAACAAAAAAACTATACCCTACATTAGCTACCCCACTAAAGCCTACATTCTATTATGACATAAGCATATAATTTGACACACCCCCATAGGCAAAGTGGGGGAGAGTAAGGGGTCACAAGACCAGTCAAGAGAAGCAAAGCAAGCTCAGGGTGGATCACAACGTCACCACACACACTAAGCACAAGCAAAGGGCCACAAGGCCAGTTCACAAGCAGAGGTATATATGCAACAACAATAGTACAGTGATCTCTACTTAGCAGAGCAAGCATGCAGGAATATATATAGATCACAGTATAAGCAAAGTCTTCAGAAAGTAAGGAAAAGTGGGCACAAGGCCTAACAAAGTGCAGAAACGCTGATGATCACCAGACGGAAGTGCTTTGGTGAATATATCAGCAGTGTTGGCCCGAGTGGCCACGTGTGCAAGACGAAGCTGACCACGCTGCTGCAACTCTCGAGCCAAGAAGTAACGCAGAGCAATGTGCTTCGTTCTGTGCTCCAGACTGTGCTCCTGACACAAGGCAATGGCGGCCTTGTTGTCGACGTACAGAACTGGAGGAGAACGAGGCCGCTCTCCCAAGTCGGTCAGCAGGTAGGTGAGCCAGCGTAACTCCTGTGCAGCCATGGCTGTGGCGTAGATCTCAGCCTCACAACTGGAGCTGAGAACTGAAGACGAGCGTGTAGAACGCCAAGAAACTGAACCAGAGCCAAGGCAGAAGGTGTAACCCTGTGACGACCGCTGCGTAGCCTGGTCGTCAACCCAAGAAGCGTCCGAGTGACCAGTGAGGACAACGTCGCCCCGTCCTCCAAGCACGAGCCCCATGCCCGATGTACTGCACAAGTAGCGCAGTACCCTCTTAGCAGCATCCATGTGCACCTTTCGGTGCCGACTAGGAGCCACGTAGCGAGCCAGAAGGCCAAGAGGGTACGCGAGGTCAGGACGAGTGCAGGTCATCAGGTACATGAGGCAGCCAACTAGCTCTGGGTAAGGACCACTCGGCTCTACGGACTCGTCCGAAGGTGGAGCTGAGAGCGAGTGACCTGTAGCCAGAGGAGTGGCCTGTGCCGAGGATCAGGTGAAGCCGAAGCGCTGAAGGACCTGCTGCACCATGTGTGACTGCGTCAGGGTGATGGTGCGGCGTGATCTGTCCCGGGTGATCTGCAAGCCAAGGTAGCTGCGCAGCTCACCCAGGTCTGTGCACGTGTGTCTCTTCTGCAGCTCCAACTTCACCAGGGTGAGAGCCTCAGTGTCAGCAGTGGCAAAGACCAAGTCGTCGACGTACACGAGGATATAGAATGGCGGCAGCGAAGTGTCGGTGCGCAGAAACAGCGACGGGTCAGCAGTCGACGGAGCAAACCCAAGAGCCGCAAGAGTCGTCCTCAGTGTGTCGTGCCACTCACGTGGCGCCTGGCGGAGACCGTAGACCGGCCGCCGGAGGCTCCACTGGGTACCAGGAGGGAACGACCCAGTGAAGCCAGGCGAGCGGCGCAGCCAGATCTCCTCGTGCAGGCTGCCCTGCAAGAAAGCTGTGCTGAAGTCAAGAGAGTGAAGCTCGTAGTCACGCTGAGCGGCAACGTGCAGCAGCACCCGAAGAGTGGTCATCTTCGGGGTGGGGGAGAAGGTATGGAAGAAGTTAACTCCCTCTCGCTGACTGAAACCTCGAGCAACGTAACGAGCCTTGAAGACAGGCGGAGAACCTGGCGGCCGCTTCACCCTGAAAATCCACATGCCACTGACGATGTTCGCCCCAGGAGGGGGAACCTCGTCGACGTACGTGCCTGTGGACTTCCAGGATGCCATCTCTGCGTCCATGGCTGTCTGCCACGGAGAGGAGTACTCACCCACGATCGCCTCAGCGTACGAGCGCGGGGTCGGGATGTCTGGAGCATCCGGGTCTCCCTCAGGGGCAAGCAGCATGGACACGAGATGAGGCGCAGCGGCTGCAAGACACTCAAGGTCCTCCTGCCTGTCCTCAAGGACGTCCGTGCCAAGAGCACACTCACCCCCGACGGACGGAGGACAGACAGACTCAGACTCAGCAACAAGACTAGCGGCGTAGTCTAGACGACAGGCAGCAGCAAAGTCAACAAGCTCAGCGACTAAGGCAGACGCAGCAGTAGACTCAAACGACGGGTCAGTGAGAACTGTGGCTAGCAGACGCGTAACAGTAGGGTGAGCAGCACGAGCGCGGTCAGACTCAGGCTCAGGAATGGTAGGCAGAGAAGACGCAGGAGGGGACCGCAGGAGAACACTCTGCGGAGGAGAGGAAGGACGACGGACTACAAGGTGGGTGCCGGGGACAGCCAGCTGACACGAACGAGGAACACGACGACCGGAACGACCAGAACGGATAGGCGAGACAGGACGCGACATAGGCTCACGACGCTCAGTAAGACCCCCTGTCTGCTCAGTGTAAAGAGAAGGAGCAGGCAGCGGTGAGCCAGGCTGTAACGGAAGACCAGTAGACGAAGGGAGACTAAGAACCTGGCGAAGCACAGAGTCATACGGTGGCTGAGACGACGGAGACGGTGGAGCAAAGAACAGGCGCGGTTGTGCAGTGCTACCAGCACCAGCAGCTCCAGCACCCCCAGCAGCCCCAGCACCTCTAGCAGCTCCAGAACCCTCAGCTCCAGCTCCTCCAGGACTAGCTCTACCAGCAGCAGCACCCCCAGAACCGGCACCTCCAGTCCCAGGGTCTCCAGCCTCAGTGTCTCCAGCAGCAGCACCCTCAAGCTCAGCACCTCCAGCCCCAGCAGCTGTACCTCCAGTACGAGCACCTCTGGGACCAGCACCACTCCCAGCTCCAGTGACGTCAGCAGAAGTACCTCCAGCGGCAGAGCCCCGAGCTCCAGAAGCGCGACCCTGACGGCGACCGTACCAGTCGTGCAGCTGCTGTGAGGTGAGAGGGACACGCGGACGAAGTCGGCTACTCCAAGGAGACCGCGCAACAGCAGACTCAGAACCCTCCGTGCCAGCACCCGCAGCAGCTCCAGAACCTCCAGCGCCAGCACCCTCAGCAGCTCTAGAACCTCTAGCTCCAGCACCCTCAGCAGCTCCAGAACCTCCAGCAGAAACAACTCCAGTAGCAGAGTCACCAGCTCCAGCGCCTCCCGCAGCAGGGCCCCTAGCTCCAGCAGTGCGACCCTGACGGCCAACGTACCACTCACGCAGCTGCTGTGGGGAGAGAGGGAGTCGACGACGAGAGTGCAGCGGCGAGGTACCAGCGGAGCGACTACGGAGACGGTCGCTCCAGGGAGACTGCTCACCAGACGCCTCAGCGCCCCCAGGTGCAGCACCCCCAGGCTCAGTACCCCCAGGCTCAGCACCCCCAGGCTCAGCACCCCCAGAAGCAGCACCCCGAGCAGGACCACCCTCAGC